CTCTTCCGAAGAGAAATATTGTAATGTAATTTCATTAGACTGGATATGATCCCTGATGAAATGATAGTCTATCTCGATATGATTCGTTCGTGCATGGAAAATGGGGTTCTCTAACGTATAGTCATGGCTGATAGGTTATCAGAGTAAATTGTTGTAGGGGTTGAGCAAAAATTTTTAAAGTCCCTTGAGAAGTATTCTTAGTCATATAGCTTTTGTCACAGCGGAAGATATTGCACGGTATTCAATTTTAGTTGAGGATTTAGCAACTATTGGTTGCTTTTCACATTCCATGAAATAGGGTAAGGACCTATGAAGGTACAGTACCCAATGATAGATCTTCTATCAGTCACATCACTAGCCCAACTTGTGTCGACATAGGTGTGAAAAGTGAGTGAACCTGCTTGGAATGTAAACCGAATTCAACTGTGCCAAGAAGATATCTTAAGAGACACTTTAGTTGCTTATAATGTGACTGACGTAGTTTTTGAAGATTCTGGGTGAGTGAATTAAATAATTTTTTTACTCCAATAAAGTTGTCGCCATTGGAGACGCCATGAGATCAACATTAAATTAGCCTTTGGGGGCAGAAAGTGACGCCCGAACGCTACATAAAAGTGCAGGATGGATTACTATTCCCCACCTGCTCTGCTTCTCTATATTTATTATTTTGCTTGCAAACTCGCAAAAAATGCTCATTTTGAGGCATTTGATCATGCTAATGTTGACGTCAAAACCTTTGCTGAGCTCATCTTGATAAAAAAAAAAAAAAACAAAAAAAGTAAGTTCCGCTTCTTTGCAAACTTTTGAAGGTCTCCAACCAAACAGGATCGACTAAAGATCAGTCTGAAGTCCAAAGAGCCACCTGGCAGGACCAGAAACAAGCACCTATGCCGCCGACTAATCAAAGGTTTAGTACCCCCAACAAGCTCACAAATATCAATGTGATGTCCACAAATCAACAAGTAACAAACCATCTTATGGCCGACCGACTACCATACTCAAAGTTGACCAACTTCTCAGAGTGAGAGCCGGTTGGTGCCTAGATAAAATTGTTGATGGACACCAGTTCGGTCATTCAACCCAAGGACTTGCCGAGCAGAAGGTTCAACTCATATGAAAAAGTGTCAGGATCAGTTAACAATATAAAAAGACACAACAAAAAACAATAATATTCTATAGTGCACTACCCATCCTAAAGCAAGGGCAGACATGAAGTTTTCTGCTTTTGGCCCTCTATCTCCCATAAATAGAGGATCCATGACATGTATTAGTGGGTTTTTGGCTCCCTAATTTTTTTGGCTCTCTCTAGACTCATCTTCTGTATGGAGAACTATGTCTCATTCTCTTTTGTAACATCTTCTTTTCATATATAAAATTGGTTATACAGCTCGGGCATACTCCAATTCATCCCTATTGGGCAAGTTTGTGACGGCCTTTCATCATTTCTTCATCTCTTTTTTTTTCTCTCTACTCCCTCAAGGTTTCTATCGCTCCGCTCCTTGGGCGTGCTCCGCAGCACAAATTTGGAATAAACTTCTGGAAATGTGAGGTAAGCGTGAAACATGCTACAAACAGAAATGAATCCGACACTAATGAGGAGAAATATATCACAAAGACACTCTTAACAGGGAATACGCTAAAGAGTTCATGCAGTAAAAAATCCACAGCCAAAAACTCTGTTTCGGTTGTCTTCACAAGAGAAGGGGGAGAGACCGAGAAGAGAACATCAAATTGACAACTAATGTATAACTCATGAAGATAAGCGAAGGTAAACGATCATTAATCGTTATCAATCAGCACCAACAATTATTGCAGCCACTAATTATAATTGTTATAACTATATCATTTGTAGCAAAACTATTACTATATAGTTGTGATTTTCAGTTTTTGTCATATCATCTTCACTAATTAAAGATAACATTTGAAATTCATACTTTTAATTTTTAAATGAATTATTATAAGTGAGTCAAACATATAATTTTTTTCCTTCTTAGAGATTCTCTATATAAAATAGTAATATTATCTTTTATATTTTTATATGTGTGGTGGAAAATTATATTGAACTAAGATTTAAGATTTTTCTGATGTTTAAAATTTTCTAGTACATAACAATTATATTATCATATTATTAAATAAAAAAAAAAGTAAGATATATCTTGTTAAATATAAGTAAAATTCTTTATATGAAAAAAAATCAAAATTGAGAGCCTGAAATGTAATAATATAAAACTTATGTGACATATATGTAAATTTTCCTTTGTTTCCAACGCCTATCAGCTCTTTCCAACTCATCATTCTCCCACCGTCTCAAGTGTCGTCCTCACTCACAGTAGATGCGATCTTGAAGAAAACCCAAAAGAACCGAAAAACTTAGCTCTTCAGATCCTGACTATTTTGTAGATTCTTTCTTTTTCTACATCTGTATTTCATGCATAACTGTAAGGATTTTTTGCCTCAAAAACTATAAATCTCGCTTTATTTTTTCTTTTTTTTTTATGTAACATAGAGTCTGTATTCTGGATGAAATGCTAAGTTCTAATCACGCTTTGCGGCATATTGGCATACAAAGATTGATAATGTTGTAATTTCCGGTGATAATTTCAACTACGAAACCCAAACTGGCTTGTTGGTGTACAGAAATTCAAAACAACCCTTCCCTCTTTTGCCCTACCTTTCAATAGTCGAATCTTAAAGTTTGTGTACCAATCATTCCAATTTTTTTAGGCCAGTTTCTCATCTTCTGTTTAGATTTTCTCTTTTTCTAAGATCCTGCGTCGCTTTTGTATTAGTTTAGCATTTCTGCATACTCTTTAGGGGTGTTTGGCTGCACTTAAGTAGGATTTAGTAAATCCGGTAAATCCGGATTCATAAAATCCAGTGCTGTTAAATCCAAGAAGATATTTGGTATGATTTAAACTTAAATCTGCTTAAATTCATCTCTTATGTTGGGCATTTTATCAGGGCTTAATTTACTTGTATGGGTGTTTGGTGGCTGGATCTGAACAAGATTTACGTGATATTTAAAATTTTCTAAACCTAATTTTTCTTCATTCAATTATTGTTTTAACATGAATTTGGATTTATTAAATCCGATTATTTCGTGGATTTAAGGGATTTAGCTTTAGGAGGGATTTAGCTTTAGCAAGAAAATTACAGGAGTAAATTTATGCCAAACATCATAAACAAATTTAATGGATTTTACCCTTAAGTGAACCAAATACTATTCTGGATTTAGAGCATTTGGATTTGATAAATCCCGATTTACCGGATTTACTAAATCTTATTCAACATAAATCCTATAGGCAGGAGGAAGAGAAATTTACATTTAGCAAATTGTCGGATTTATTTGATGTTTTTTTTTTTTTGTATTTGGATGGATTTACGTTAAAACCGTGCGTTAATTCTATTAATTCTGTTATACCAAACACCGCCTTAAATTTCCAATTATTTTGTTAGACGTTTTATTGCTTGTTCTTCACTGTAGAACTCTAACCATCACTAACATAATTTTTATGAAATCACTTTTAGTTATCTTCTGGCAAAGTTGGTTCCAACTATGCCTTTTTTAAGGCAAAAAATTCAGAGGTTTCAGCTAAGTCAATATGGAAGGCTGTATTCTTCAGTTTCAAAGGCTGTGTCAGAACAGAAGTAGAAAGCTAATTTCAGTTTTAGCTTTGATGTTTTCTTTTCTTTTGGTCCTTCATACCTTCACTCTTCCTTCTAGAAGAACTTATTCAACTCAGTATCCTACTCCAAAATTACCTGCAAACACCAAGTTGAACTCACTAAATAAGAATTTCTCTTCTCAATCTCAAGGAGTTGGAAAGCTCTCTCATTTGAGTGACTCTTACAGCTCGATCAAATCATTAAACCTTTCTAAGAGACCAGATCATGATTTAAGGGTCAGTGAAGTGGATGAAAAGTTAAAAAATGATGGTTCTGATGATAGTAGCTGGTTGGATGGGGATGAGAATCCTGTTATGAGATTTTCTGATGATCTTGGTGACGTAACCGGAATAAAGAAGGTTGGGGATTCAGTTTATGAGTTTCTCTCCATATCAGATAGAAATAGAAAAGAAAATCCTCTTTTAGACATCGAGCAAAGAAGAATTCCAGCTAATGAATTAATGAAAGGAGAGTTAAGTGTGAATTCAAGTAAGAATGCCATAATTTCAGTTCCTATTGCTTCATTAACAGAAATTACAAAAGCAGAAATGGTAACTTCACTAAGTCAGCAGGTAAAACAAGAACTTAGTAATGTTCTAACCAAATTAAACGCCAGCATGAGCTATGCGGACACTTTGAACGAGAAAAATGCGTTGATTATGTCGCCACTAACCTTGTCTGAAATGAATAGTCTGTTGTGCAAAAACCGTGTTTTGCATCATTCAATGGTATTTACATTTTACTCAAGAATCTTAACCTAGGTTCTTGTAATTTTTATTTCTAATATTACTCTGAATTCATGTGAAATTTTCCTTAATTACAGAGACCTAGATGGTCATCAGCACCTGACAAGCAGATATTAGCTGCACAGAAAGAAATTGAAAATGCTCTCAATGTTGAAAACGACCGGCAACTCTTTGCGCCGTTGTACCGAAACATTTCGAAGTTTAAAAGGTTATCTAATTATTTATGTGGTATATTATTTGTTGCTTGCTATGAAACAAAACTAAGCTTGTTCTTTAGTTTTCATTATTTAAATTTGGAGACCGTTAATTATATTGGTTTAAGAAAAAAATGTAGGTGAACTGTTGTCACATTAATATGTGGTGAAATGCCAGAGCATGAAGGGATAATATCTTGTTAATGTGATATACTGCGTTCGAATGCTTGTTCACTTAATGAATATACGACACTCGAAAATCAATATAAATTATCATTGCTTTTAATGATAAATGAATGGAGAAGGCTGTCTCTTTGGAGGAAATTATACTTTAGAGACTGTCTCTTTATGCAGAAGCTACAAGCTGATGGAGAAGACTCTTAAGATCTACATCTATGAAGAAGGAGAAAAGCCAATATTCCATCAGCCACTCCTCAAAGGCATTTATGCTGCTGAAGGATGGTTCATGAAACTGATGGAGAGCAGTAAACACTACATTGTAAAAGACCCAAGTCAGGCTCATCTCTTCTACATGCCATTCAGCTCTCGTCTCCTACAATTGGCTCTTTACGTTCCCGGTTCGCACAATCGAACGAACATGAGACTTCATCTCAAGAACTATTTACGTAAGATTACAGTGAAATATCCTTTCTGGAATCGAACGGGGGGCGCCGACCATTTCTTCGTCGCTTGCCATGACTGGGTATTCTCAGTCTTCATAAAACATGAGCTCTGCTTCTGAACTTCCTGCTTAACAACTCTCACTTGTTTCAGGCGCTTAATGAAACAAACACGATCATGAACCGCAGCATTCGTGCCCTCTGTGTCGCAGATCTAGGTCAAGGGTTCAAGCTGGGCAGAGATGTCTGTCTTCCTGAATCCAAAATTCGTTTGCCAAAGAATCCTCTCAAAGATATCGGCGGAAGGCCTTGGAATCAAAGGCCAGTTCTTGCTTTCTTCGCCGGGAACTTACATGGCATCCTTCGAAGTATTCTTCTGGAGAACTGGGAGAGCAAGGATCCCGACATGAAGGTTTTTGGCCCCTCGACATTGAGTGGGGCGAGGAGTAAGATGGATTATGTCCAGTATATGAAGAGCAGCAAATACTGTATCTGTCCCAGGGGTTATGAGGTTAACAGCCCCAGATTAGTGGAGTCAATCTTCTTTGAGTGTGTTCCGGTGATCCTAGCTGACAATTATGTGCCACCATTTTTTGAAATTTTGAAATGGGAGAAGTTTTCTGTGGTTGTTCCAGAGAAGGATGTGCCCAGACTGAAAGAAATACTGGTAGCCATTACTATGTCAGAGTATAGGGAGCTGCAGATGGGGGTGAAGAGGGTGCAGAGGCACTTTCTGTGGCGCAACAAGCCTGTGAAGTATGACTTGTTTCATATGATGCTACATTCTATTTGGCTGAGTAGAGTTTATAACATAGAAGTCAGATGAGGAACTAATGTCGGGGCATTTACATACATTCCACCCAATTCCTAGATATTTACATATATAACTCCTAAGCTTTACATTTTACATCTGTACCACTCAAAGCTTTGATATCACATAAAAAATACCACCATTTTAATTTTAAAAAGTGAGATACACTTTTTTATGCACGGGTAAGGTGGGATGTAATTAAAAATTGAAGTTTTAAGTGTCGGATATGTAAATACATAGGAATTGAGTGGTATGTATGAAAATTTTCCATTTCTTTTACATCTTTTGCTTGTTTTTGATGTTCCAAGTCTTTTGATTTAGGATCTGTAAGCAGTTTTGTCTTGCGAGACAGATCCATGTATGCTCTGACGCCCTGACCTCCCTCTAATAGAAGAGAAATGAATGAGATGAGGGAGTTTAGCATGAGATTCCGTGTCAAATTTTAAGAAGACATATGAGATAGTAGATAAGAGACCACGTAGATGTCTTGCTCTCATTTTGTGAGGATTTTAAACTATGGGTTGAAGATTTCCCTTACGTGCAAAGCTCCTATGGTTAATTATGCCTATCAATAATGAAATTGTACTTTTGATTAAAGTTAGTGATTATATGCTAAATGTTCAAACGTGACACATTCTAGTAGTATATGTTGTTTTTGAAATTATAAAATTATCACCGTGAGCTTAAAATGAATGATGAGAGAAATGATGACGAACTTGATCAAGATCTTCTAGTTTTATCATCCTGGGTTGTTATAGTCTTTGGTCTACGTAGTTAGAGAAGGTAATTGACCCAGTCTCACAAATGACCCTTATCAGAAGTCATGAGTTGCTTCGCCTAAGAGAATCTTGTATATTCGGCGTGATTGTTTGTCTAAGAGGTCTAAAATAAGTTGTCCTTAGCTTACAGAGAATTTTATACCCTAATAAACATATCTTATGATTCATAACCCGAAGGTGTATACTGTCGGCCACCTAAAAGAACGCAAAGCGGGTCCACTAGTGTGTCGCGGCTGTGCACGAGCGCGCTAGGGATTGTGTGGGCATGTTAGGGCTCCTCAAGGCAGTGTAAATGGTTGTCAGGCACACCCGCATAGGGTATCCGATGTCGGGGTGCTCAATGCTACAATGGGTGCGCCAAACAATGGGGTGCCTCTCTCTCACACACACACACACACACACTCTCTCTCTCTCTCTCACACACACACACACAAACGGGTCATTTGAGGGATCGATGTGGGCTACTCCATGGTTAATGCGAGGGCGCTCAGTGTTGGGCATGAGTGTGCCAAGAAAAAGCTAACACGCTCTGGGTCTATCGCAGATGTGCTAGCTCAGAGAGGCCTAGGCAGGTGTGTCAAAACAAGCGCGGGTGCGCCTACATGACCTTTTACCCCTAAAGAGTTTTTTGTCCTTCCCACCACCCCACTAATAGGGAAAAACACAACATGCAAGACAAACACATCCTAAACACACACACAACATCAAATCAAATCAAATTCTAGGATAACACTTGGATTGCATCCCAAGGTAGCCCTTGGTTTAACATCCTTAGCCAGACGATGCCAGATCGGTTTGTTGGCATTAAGTTTTGATATCGCAAGTGTGGGATGTTCGCTCGAGGGTTACTGAACCTTGCTTGCTGATTTCCGCAGTGCAAGACATCCATTTTGAGACCTTTTGGCGTGTGTTGAGGGGCACATTGTTAAGATCATCCTGCTAGACTTCGGCCACCACTCAGGCGAAGGCCGGTCAACAATTTGGTATGGTGAACGGCTTTGAATGGGCCGACATGTCTCATTCGCTGCGTCATGCACGATACTAGCTCAAATTGGCTCCTCTAACAGTGAACTTGCCCAAATAATCTCGAATGACGAAATGAACTGCGCGAGCACATATGGAACATCAATTTTACCTAGGAAGAACACCAATTCTACTATGGTTACACTTACGAGCCAGTCATGCGCAAATTAAAGCTTTGAAATAATAATAATAAAGATTATTAATAAAAAAAGGAAAAAAAAGCTTTAAAACCCCATAAAAAAGGGCTTTAAAAACCCATCGCATGCGATGCGACCCCTCCCCAATCTCCAGATCTGCGCGTGCCTTAGCCCTCACGTCGTTCACTCCCATTCTAAGATCCCAAAGCTCGTCACTGGTACTCCTCGTCAGTGAACGCCCAACCGCCGCCTCCTCTCCTCCGCGTCGGAACTCCCATCTAAGGATCTCCTAGTGGAGGAGCTCAGTAGCTTGCCACACCTCGGCTGATCGTACGCACGGGGCTTGATCCTCAACGGTGACATCCCGCCGACCTCCTTCGCCGTCAGCATCCAACTCTTGCCGTCCTTAGCCCTCTCTCACGCTAGGCTTTCGTGGGATCCCAAATCCCTCGCGTCTCCTTCAGCTGTTCGTGACCTAGACCTTACCCGTCGGCTTTCCTTCCGTCGTGAAGCCCCTTCGACGCATGTGCCTCCCGTTAGCGTCTCACAGTCGTCTGTCATCTCTTCACACAAAAGATTTATGGAAAATCCCTTCCTCCTTACTTGCATTTTTTCTACGGCTGACGTTCTTCTCCGCGAAGCATTTTGTCGGCCTTTGTTAGTGACCGTAAACCACTCCAGAGTGCCTTATTGTCGACGGGCAAAGAAGACATCTTAGCATGAAATAGTGTGGACATCCTCTCCCTCTTCAATGAGAGCTTCTTCCTGGACTTTGTTGGATGATGTAGCCTCGGACTTGTGGGTCGACGGGCAAAGAAGACATCTTAGCATGAAATAGCGTGGACATCCTCTCCCTCTTCAATGAGAGCTTCCTCCTGGACTTCGTTGGATGATGTAGCCTCGGACTTGTGGCTTTCCTTCCTTAGCTAGCCTCAGGTCTTAGTTGTGGTAGGCGTGTGGGTTTGATCGCCCACACAGAGTGCACATGCTGACTGACATTCGCTGGCACAGTCACATGAATATGTGATGGATCGTCGCTTTTCTTAGAGAAAGCCTTGGGGTAGGATTTCGTGCGTGGTCAAACACCGTTGTAGAGCCAAGTGATTCCCTTTGTTGTGAACCCTTACACAATTTCCCATGAGTTGGAGACCCTTCCTTCTCTCGTTATGGATTCCCCAATTTTCCTTGGACAAATTAAGAGGTTGGACTTGACAAAGTGAGAAACGTTTTATAGCAAGCTCAATTTGCAAAGTCATGAGGAGTTCACGAAATGCGAAAAGCTTTATAGTTAGCCCATTTTGTGACTTCGTGGAGAGTTCTCCTTCCGGAAATTCCAAAGAGAAATTCCCAACGTACCTCACCAAAGTAGGAGGAGGCAATGTCGCACATCCAAATGTCAACCCTTAGTTCATATGTGAGGGAGTTGGCATGGGCACGATTCAATATCAAGCGTGTTGATTTACCTTGGATTGCACTAGATATTGCTTGGAGTATGTTTATGTTAGAATGTTGCATCGTTCAATTGAACCAGCCTGGTTGGCATATCACTTTGCCTAGAATCGGTCGCATTGCTCGGTCGGCGTGTCACTTTGCCTCAACTAGCTGCACCTGCCCGAACGACACCTCACTTATGTCTTGATCGGTCGTCCCTGCTCGGTCGACACTACTTATGTCTTGAGCAGATGTATCAGTTCGATCGATATCACTTGTGACTTGATTAGATGTCCCAGCCTGATCAACATCATTTTCTTCTTCGACCGGCGCCGACATCACTTTGGTTTGATTAGCCACCCTGACTCGGTCGGCCAACTACTTTGGTTCGATGGTCGCTTTGACTAGGGCGACTAACCACTTTGGTTCGATACGTCGTCCCGACCCGTTCGACCGAGCACTTTGGTTAGACCAGTCGTCCCGACCCGATCATTCAACCACTTTGGTTCGACCTCCCGCCCTGACACAATCAACCTGTCACTTTGGTTCGATCAACTTCCCCAACTTGATCTACCTGCCACTTTGCCTCTACCGGCCACCTCGGCCCGGTCAGCATAGTACTTTGATTCGATCGGTTATCGAGGCCCAGTCAACCGACCACTTTGCCTCGACCAACCGCCTTAGTCTGGTCAATCAATTACTTTGGACCGACTGATCTCCCCGACTTGGTCAACTGATCAATTTGATTTGATCGGTTGCTTCAACTCAGTTGACTGAACATTTATATGCTTGTATGTCATTGCATCATGTCGCATGCTCATTTGCATTTGTCTTTGATTCTCCCCAGTGAGGATCATCACCCTTTTGGGCCTCTGCCTCTACTACATGTTCACTATTTCGGGCTTCTGCCTCCACGACGCGTGCATTTTCTGTCTGGACACCTGACGTACCTCTATGTGTGGTGCATGTTATTCCTAAGTTATTTTCAGGTTATTTCTGGGTTATTTTCAATAATCCCGAAATAATTCAGAAATAACCCAAAAATAACCCCCAAAATAAAGACCGCGGGTTATTTCTGGGTTATTTTGGGATTATTGAAAATAACCCAGAAATAACCTGAAAATAACTCAAGAATACACTGCGCCGCACGTAGAGCTATGTCAGAAGTCCGCACAGAAAAAATTTTGCTCCACAACACACTCACCATTTCGGACATTTGTCTTCACGACACACCCATCCTTTAAGGTCACTGCCTCCATGACACTCATCCTTCGAGCCACTGCCTTCACGATGCGCCCATCCCCAAGTTCACTGCCTCCTTGACACACTCAGTCGTAGGGCCCCTGCCTCCTCGACATGTCCATACCTTTGGGTCACCGCCTCCTCGGCACACTTAGTCACTAGGCCCTTATCTTCTCAACACGCTCATCCTTTGTCTCACAGCCTCCTTGGCACACCCAGTCATTGGGCCCTGCCTCCTCAACACGCTCATCGGGTCACTACTTCCTCGACACACCTAGTCTATGAGCGTCCACGACACGCCTATCCTTTCGACTCACTAACTTCAAGACACACCCAATCATCGAGCCCCTAACTCCTCAACACACTCATCCCTTCGAGTCACTGCCTCCCCAGCACACCCAGTCGTCGGGCCCTGCCTTCTTGGCATTCCCAATCATTTCGGTTCACTGCCTCCCGGACACACATTATTCGAGCCTCTATCTCCTCGACACGCCCAATTCTTTCGGGTCACTGCCTCCACGACACATCCACTCGTTTGGTCTTTGCCTTTACTACACGCCCACCTTTCCGACTCACTGCCTCTGTGGCTCACTCACCTCTGCATATGTCAGTTGCTTATCATGTATATTTGCATGTGTGTTCGGTGAGTGACTCTCAAGTAAGGTGTAAATCCTTGCATATGTATCCTTTCACTCGATGCAAAATCATTCGTAGTAGGTTTTTGCTTTTCGCATGGCACCTTAGGTCCTCGGTAAGCAGAATTCCTCACAGGGGTAGTATGTTATTCCTGGTACATCCCGTTAGCGTGTGTCATGTTGAATGTTGCACCCTTTTGGGCACCCATTGTGGTTGTTTCATACTTTGGTCGAGTGATCACAGTGTGGGCTTCTTGCA